CCAAATCCCCCCAGTAACCGGACGAAACACAGTTCTGGGAGTCAACTGACGATTTTATTCACAAGCTCCAGTATTTATGTGATTTCCCCATGCAAGGGGTTTCTTTACTGACTTTACAGGAGTTGTACAGTAGGGGACTACATGGGGGACTTAACATACAGAGCATTTCTCCCACCATGCACTGCTGTTCGAGAGGGATACTCCCACTAGAATATCCTGTTAAGTAGATTATCCCTCCATACAGCAGAACCGGCTTTCACAAAAAAATCCATAAGTTACATATTATTCGTGCCATTGTACCGAATGATATGTCCGGCAGATAGCTGGGGTCTGAGCGCATACTTTGTGAAAGTACCGCTCAGATCCCAGCACAATCAGCCGAACACTGCACAAAATACACTTCAATATACATTCCTCATAAAAGTCACAAATACACCAGTGGGGAAAAAGTACCGAAAGACTGGCGCTCCCGAACGGCCTCTCTCATACGCTCAGTCTGTCTGTCTGCTCAGCCCCTCTCATACGCTCAGTCTGTCTTTCTGCTCAGCATCTCTCATACGGTCAGTCTGTCTGCTCAGCCTCTCTCATACGGTCAGTCTGTCTGCTCAGCCTCTCTCATACGGTCAGTCTGTCTGCTCAGCCTCTCTCATACGGTCAGTCTGTCTGCTCAGCCTCTCTCATACGGTCAGTCTGTCTGCTCAGCCTCTCTCATACGGTCTGTCTGTCTGCTGAGCCTCTCTCATATGGTCAGTCTGTCTGTCTGCTCAGCCTCTCTCATATGGTCAGTCTCTCTGTCTGTCCAGCCACTCTCATACGGTCAGTCTGTCTGCTCAGCCTCTCTCATACGGTCAGTCTGTCTGCTCAGCCTCTCTCATACGGTCAGTCTGTCTGTCTGCTCAGCCTCTCTCATACGCCCAGTCTGTCTGTCTGCTCAGCCTCTCTCATACGCTCAGTCTGTCTGTCTGTCTGCTCAGCCTCTCTCATACGCTCAGTCTGTCTGCTCAGCCTCTCTCATACGCTCAGTCTGTCTGCTCAGCCTCTCTCATACGTTCAGTCTGTCTGTCTGCTCAGCCTCTCTCATACGTTCAGTCTGTCTGTTTGCTCAGCCTCTCTCATACGCTCAGTCTGTCTGTCTGCTCAGCCCCTCTCATACGGTCAGTCTGTCTGCTCAGCCTCTCTCATACGGTCAGTCTGTCTGCTCAGCCTCTCTCATACGGTCAGTCTGTCTGCTCAGCCTCTCTCATGCGGTCGGTCTGTCGCGCTCTGGCTTTTTCTCTCTCATCTGCGGTCAGTCTACGTATTGCTCGAGCCTCTCGCCACGGCTGGAGTCTGTCTGGCCTTGCTCGGCCCTCTCTCATACGCTTACTGTCTGCTCAGTCTCTCTCATACAGTCTGTCTGTCTGTCCGTCCGACCGTTCAGCTTCTCTCATAGGTCAGTCAGTCTGTCTGTCTGTGTGCTCAGCCTCTCTCATACGGTCAGTCTGTCTGTCTGCTCAGCCTCTCTCATACAGTCAGCCTCTCTCATATGGTCAGTCTGTCTGTCTGCTCAGCCTCTCTCATACGGTCAGTCTGTCTGTCTGCTCAGCCTCTCTCATACGGTCAGTCTGTCTGTCTGCTCAGCCTCTCTTATACGGTCAGTCTGTCTGTCTGCTCAGCCTCTCTCATACGGTCAGTCTGTCTGTCTGCTCAGCCTCTCTCATACGGTCAGTCTGTCTGTCTGCTCAGCCTCTCTCATACGGTTAGTCTGTCTGTCCGCTGAACGCTTTGCTCATATTCCTGTACCTGTTTTCTAGCTTGTTTAATGTAAATGTTTTTCTGTGCATCCACCAGGTTCTTGGGTAACCGTTCTTACAGCTATGAGCGCTGCGGGAAATATAACGAATCGCTGCGTGATGCGGAACAAGCTCTCTCTCTCCAGCCACACTTTATTAAGGGCTACTTCAGGAAGGGAAAGGCGCTGAAAGGACTCCAGGTATGCTTGACGCTGGTTCTAACTGGAGGGCATGCTATACAGGGGCGAGATGAGTGTAGTTCAGAAGTTGTAGTAGTAGCTGGAGGTATACAAAACCCATTAAAGGCATTGAAGTCTGGTAAAGAATAGTGAACTACCTACCTGTTGGCCTACAGTGTCAGCTGACTGCTCTCAACCAGTCTGTGGTGCTCCCGCCCTGCGGCAGACCGTGCTTCCTTTAGCTGAATTTCAGAAACCAGATGTTCATGAGAACAGCGTGGAATGGTGATGGAGAACCAGTTGTGGGGTTGCACTGTTCATGAACGGATTAACCCCTCTGTTTAAGGAAGGGACCTCCTGGCACCATAACAACTGGATGGGGTATTCCTTTAAGGTATAGAGGCTACGTTTAACCTATAAGTTAGACATGAATGAAGACTCAGATACTCAGATACAGTGCAATATGTATGCAGTACACGAGGATTCGATTTATGTATACAGGAGTATTGGAGGGCGGTAATAGAGATTTACATATACAGTGAAATGTACAGGAAAGTATGCGGAATTAGAGTACGTTAATGAAGGTCTAGGTGTACAGAGGAATAGAGGACAATTATGGGATACTCAAAACACAAAAACTACTTGATCTTCATGACGCAGGTTTGGTGTATAGATAGAAACATAGAATGTGACGGCAGATAAGAACCATTCGGCCCATCTAGTCTGCCCAATTTTCTAAATACTTTCATTAGTCCCTGGCCTTATCTTATGGTTAGGATAGCCTTATGCCTATCCCACGCATGCTTAAACTCCTTTACTGTGTTAACCTCTACCACTTCAGCTGGAAGGCTATTCCATGCATCCACTACCCTCTCAGTAAAGTAATACTTTCTGATATTATTTTTAAAACCTTTGTCCCTCTAATTTAAGACTATGTCCTCTTGTTGTGGTAGTTTTTCTTCTTTTAAATATAGTCTCCTCCTTTACTGTGTTGATTCCCTTTATGTATTTAAATGTTTCTATCATATCCCCCCTGTCACGTCCTTCCTCCAAGCTATACATGTTAAGTACCTTTAACCTTTCCTTGTAAGATAAGGCCCCCGCAGTCTCACTGCCCAATTCTCTGCCATTTAGGAGTTAAATTTGTTTTGTTTTATGCAAACCTAGTCACACCTACCCTGGCTGTGACTCCCACAGACTCCATGATCAAAATAGTTTAATTTTTAATCAGATGAAACAGCACAGTGTGTTTACTTTAGAAGTGTCTATCTTCAGTTAGCTTGCATGGTATGATCTATAAACCTAAACAAAGTTGTGTTGGTGCTTATAGTGACTAACATATATAAGGGTTAGGCCACATAAATGGAGATCTAGGTATGAGAGGGAGTTTTAGGGGGGATTAGAGGACATTAATTGAGAAGGTATGTGAATGAATCATTATATTGCTCTTCTTTACCCAGTCTGGTTTGTATTCATATCCAGGCTCTTGCTATAGAATAATGTAATCTCTAAATCCTGGGTCACTGGACTCTAAGGACTCTCCTGAAAAGAGTAATTGGGACTTCACACATTGTTTCTGCATTTGATGTGATCCTTCGTCATTGTTTGAATTTTTTCCCTATCTACAGAGATACGCGGAGGCTATAGCTGCCTTTCAGAAAGTCTTGGCATCGGATGTAAATCACACCGAAGCTGCCACTGAGATATTACAGTGTCAGCTAGAGATGCAGGTGAGTCCTTTCTTTCACAATGATTTGTCTTCCATGTAACTAGACATCCCCATCTCTCTAAATTCCCTTCCTGCTCATTCCTTTATGCTCTGGAACACGGTCTGCACAAACCCCTCTTCTCCAGCTGAACGTACCCTCACTCAGTCCTGATCTCTCCTTCCTCCTCTTTCGTGCAGGCTTCAACAACCAGAGTGAATGTTCCTAATAGTCTTCCCCTTAGTCCTCCTCTCATCCCACCTGGTAAGTAAAGGGTTCATTTATGGCTTTATCAAAGTGGCTTCAAAGGGACACTCCAGGGCTGGAAATGAGCCTCGTTGTTTGTTTAATGTATTTTGTAGTTAATGTCTCTACGATGTACTTTGACAGTATTGTGACCTCATTAGGGTGACTGTGAACGGTTGGAGTTTAAATTAAATTTAACCTGTGCTTTGTTTTAGGAGCTGCAGATGGGGCTCGTTATTTGGTTTATAAGTGTCCCGACGTAAACATACCCATTATGAAACCAAAACCCTCTGTTTCAAGTAAAATGCTTCCCACCATGAGGTAATTGTACAGTTATAGGGTGAGGGTCCTGTAATGGAGCAGTGATAGGTTCAGTTATAGGGTGAGGGGTCCTGTAATAGACCAGTGATAGGTACAGTTATAGGGTGAGGGGTCCTGTAATAGACCAGTGATAGCTACAGTTATAGGGTGAGGGGTCCTGTAATAGACCAGTGATAGCTACAGTTATAGGGTGAGGGGTCCTGTAATAGACCAGTGATAGGTACAGTTATAGGATGAGGGGTCCTGTAATGGAGCAGTGATAGGTACAGTTATAGGGTGAGGGGTTCTGTAATAGACCAGCGATAGGTATAGTTATAGGGTGAGGGGTACTGTAATAGACCAGTGAGAGGTACAGTTATAGGGTGAGGGGTCCTGTAATAGACCAGTGATAGCTACAGTTATAGGGTGAGGGGTCCTGTAATAGACCAGTGATAGGTACAGTTATAGGATGAGGGGTCCTGTAATGGAGCAGTGATAGGTACAGTTATAGGGTGAGGGGTTCTGTAATAGACCAGCGATAGGTATAGTTATAGGGTGAGGGGTACTGTAATAGACCAGTGATAGGTACAGTTATAAGATGAGGGGTCCTGTAATGGAGCAGTGATAGGTACAGTTATAGGGTGAGGGGTCCTGTAATAGAGCAGCGATAGGTACAGTTATAGGGTGAGGAGTCCTGTAACAGACCAGTGATAGGTACAGTTATAGGGTGAGGGGTTCTCTAATAGACCAGCGATAGGTATAGTTATAGGGTGAGGGGTGCTGTAATAGAGCAGTGATAGGTACAGTTATAGGGTGAGGGGTCCTGTAATAGAGCAGCGATAGGTACAGTTATAGGGTGAGGGGTCCTGTAACAGACCAGTGATAGGTACAGTTATAGGGTGACGGATCCTGTAATAGAGCAGTGTTAGGTACAGGTATAGGGTGAGGGGTCCTGTAATAGAGCAGTGATAGGTACAGTTATAGGGTGAGGGGTCCTGTAATAGACCAGTGATAGGTACAGTTATAGGGTGAGGGGTCCTGTAATAGAGCAGTGATAGGTACAGTTATAGGGTGAGGGGTCCTGTAATAGAGCAGTGATAGGTACAGTTATAGGGTGAGGGGTTCTGTAATAGACCAGCGATAGGTATAGTTATAGGGTGAGGGGTACTGTAATAGACCAGTGATAGGTACAGTTATAAGGTGAGGGGTCCTGTAATGGAGCAGTGATAGGTACAGTTATAGGGTGAGGGGTCCTGTAATAGAGCAGCGATAGGTACAGTTATAGGGTGAGGAGTCCTGTAACAGACCAGTGATAGGTACAGTTATAGGGTGAGGGGTTCTCTAATAGACCAGCGATAGGTATAGTTATAGGGTGAGGGGTGCTGTAATAGAGCAGTGATAGGTACAGTTATAGGGTGAGGGGTCCTGTAATAGAGCAGCGATAGGTACAGTTATAGGGTGAGGGGTCCTGTAACAGACCAGTGATAGGTACAGTTATAGGGTGACGGATCCTGTAATAGAGCAGTGTTAGGTACAGGTATAGGGTGAGGGGTCATGTAACAGACCAGTGATAGGTACAGTTATAGGGTGACGGGTCCTGTAATAGAGCAGTGATAGGTACAGTTATAGGGTGACGGGTCCTGTAATAGAGCAGTGATAGATACAGTTATAGGGTGAGGGGTCATGTAGTAGACCAGTGATAGGTACAGTTATAGGGTGAGGGGTCCTGTATAAGAGCAGTGATAGGTACAGTTATAGGGTGAGGGGTCCTGTAATAGAGCAGTGATAGGTACAGTTATAGGGTGAGGGGTCCTGTAATAGAGCAGTGATAGGTACAGTTATAGGGTGAGGGGTCCTGTAATAGAGCAGTGATAGGTACAGTTATAGGGTGAGGGGTCCTGTAATAGACCAGTGATGGGTAAAGTTATAGGGTGAGGGGTCCTGTAATAGAGCAGTGATAGGTACAGTTATAGGGTGAGGGGTCCTGTAATAGAGCAGTGATAGGTACAGTTATACGGTGAGGGGTCCTGTAATAGAGCAGTGATAGGTACAGTTATAGGGTGAGGGTCCTGTAATAGACCAGTGATAGGTACAGTTATAGGGTGAGGGGTCCTGTAATAGACCAGTGATAGGTACAGTTATAGGGTGAGGGGTCCTGTAATAGACCAGTGATAAGTACAGTTGTAAGGTGACGGGTCCTGTAATAGAGCAGCGATAGGTACAGTTACAGGGCGAGGGGTCCTGTAATAGAGCAGCGATAGGTACAGTTATAGGATGAGGAGTCCTGTAATAGAGCAGTGATAGGTACAGTTGTAGGGTGAGGGGTCCTGTAATAGACCAGTGATAGGTACAGTTATAGGGTGAGGGGTCCTGTAATAGAGCAGTGATAGGTACAGTTATAGGGTGAGGGTTCCTGTAATAGACCAAGGATAGGTACAGTTATAGGGTGAGGGGTCCTGTAATAGACCAGTTATAGGTACAGTTATAGGGTGAGGGATCCTGTCATAGACCAGTGATAGGTACAGTTATAGGGTGAGGGGTCCTGTAATAGACCAGCGATAGGTACAGTTATAGGGTGAGGGGTCCTGTAATAGAGCAGTGATAGGTACAGTTATAGGGTGAGGGGTCCTGTAATAGAGCAGTGATAGGTACAGTTATATGGTGAGGGGTCCTGTAATAGAGCAGTGATAGGTTCAGTTATAGGATGAGGGGTCCTGTAATAGATCAGTGATAGGTACAGTTATAGGGTGAGAGGTCCTGTAATAGAGCAGTGATAGGTACAGTTATAGGGTGAGGGGTCCTGTAATAGAGCAGTGATAGGTACAGTTATAGGGTGAGGGGTCCTGTAATAGAGCAGTGATAGGTACAGTTATAGGGTGAGGGGTCCTGTAATAGACCAGTGATAGGTACAGTTATAGGGTGAGGGTCCTGTAATAGAGCAGTGATAGGTACAGTTATATGGTGAGGGGTCCTGTAATAGAGCAGTGATAGGTTCAGTTATAGGGTGAGGGGTCCTGTAATAGATCAGTGATAGGTACAGTTATAGGGTGAGGGGTCCTGTAATAGATCAGTGATAGGTACAGTTATAGGGTGAGGCAGGGCCGTCTTTAATAACGAATGGACCCTGGGCAAGTGTTTGCTTGGGCCCCCCGTGCCCTGCCGCTCTCGCCCCTCACTCCCTGGTATGCAATCACGGCATCCATCCCAACGCAGTGGCGGTACTAAAGTAGAATGAATTTTATTGGGACCCCCAATTGCAAGGTTGGACTAAAGGTAGAACCCCATCTGTCGTGCAACTCCAACAATGTTTTGACAGCTGGGACTCTACCAATTTCCCATGCTTGCAGGGTTGTATTTAGCACTGAGCCATGTTAGTATGTTTGAATGTAAGCATGTGTTTGTATGGAGTATGTTTGTGTGAATGTGTTTGTATGTGGTACTGGAGTTTGAATGCAAGTGTGCATTTATGTGTAGTTTGTTTTTGAATGTAGGAGTGTGCTTGTATGTAGTGTTGACGTTTCAATGCAGGAGTGTGTTTTATATGTAGTGTTGAAGTTTGAATGGAGGGGTGTATTTGTATTTAAAGTTGCGGCTCAGATGCACAGGTACAAACTCTGACGCACAAGCAGATACACAGATACATACACTGACTACATACAGATAAACAGGCACATACACTGACAGACACACTGACACAGGTACATATATTGACACACACACAGACATACACTGGTAGACGTACTGACAGACATACTGACACAGGCACATATACAGACATACTGACACACAGACACATATACCGACTGTACTGACACACACACACAGACACATACACTGATCCAACATGCTGACACACATACACTGAGCAGAAATACTGACACCCACACACTGAAAGCAGATATACAGGACACCCATACACACAGAAATACTGACACACACACACAGGCACATACACTGACACACACAGACGATATACTGACACACACACACAGACATACTAGCACACAGACAGATATACACTGACACATGCATACACATACACTAACAGACATACTAGCCGCACTGACGAACATACCCCAGTACATACATACTGACACACACAGATATACACACACACACTTATATACCCCAACACACAGACAAACATGCAACACACACACACAAACATGCTAACCACACACATACACTAACACACACATACACTAACACACATACACTAACACACACACACTAACACACATACACACACACTAACACACATACACAAACACACACACTAACATACACTAACACACACATACACTAACACACAAACACATACACTAACACACATACACTAACACACACAAACCCACACATACATACACTAACACACACATACACTAACACACAAACACTAACACACACATACACTAACACACACATACACTAACACACACATACACTAACTCACACATACACACACACACACACATACACACACATACACACAAACACATACACTAACACACAAACACACACACTAACACACATAAACACACACATACATACACTAACACATACATACACTAACACACACATACACTAACACACACAAACACACACATACATACACTAACACACACACACAAACAAACACACACATACACACACACA